AAGTTCAAAATCTGATAAAGGTAACATATATAAGTTCTAGTGAAGTGTAGAAAAGAAGAAGCTAAACTAGCATTGATCGAAGGGAAATTGATGTGTGTATGAAATGAATAGAATAAAGAAGAAAATTACCAACCTGGGTGGAAAGATAAGTGAATTCACATAAGTGAAGTAGTCCACTTTCTCTAGCATCTGCAATATCTCTAATTAAGATCAACAATTGCATCAACAATTGCCTTTTTGTATTCAAACCCACCTTCTTCTCTCAAAATCTTTCCAAATCCAGTTTTTGATACCCATTTTTATGGGAAAATGAATTTTAGAGCTTGTTTGAGAGGGATTTTTTACCCAAAAAAATTGATTTTTTGACTATTATTTCATTATTACAGCCGTAATTTTTTACTTCTTCTCGTACAAGTGGACCCCACTTTTTTTCTAACGATAAAAAAATCAATTCTCAAAATCCCTCCCAAACGAGGCCTTAGAATAGTAGATTGATGAAGAACGTGTGGATGTGTAATATTATTTTAATGAAAAATGTGTGGCTATAAATGAGAGAGAGAAATGTATTTTGATAAAAATGAGAATCAAATGGGGCCTTAATTGCACGAAAGATTCATATATGACATTTATATCTCAAATTTTTTTCATCACATTCTTATTTTCAAATTGATATAAATTTCTGGTTATGATTTTTCATTAAAATTTTCTGTAAGATAGAGTAAAATGACTCATTTTTCATTTTATTTTTGAATAAGCAAAACAAATAATATTGCAAAAATACGATTAAATATTTGACCCTCGTTTTAAAGAAAGTTAATAATATTTTGAATGAAAATTATGATTAAAGACAAAATTTTCTGATCAATGAAATATTAAAAATAAGAATATGATAAATAAAAGAAAGTTAAGGATATAGTATCACAATGATATAATATGACAATGAAGCAAAGGTTAATTAACTTTAGACCTTGTTTGATTTTCAATTTTTTCAAAATATATTTTTCTACCTTCTTTTTAGGGCCGGACATGGTCTGATTCGATTCTAATTGAACCGAATCGGACCCGAAATTTTCAAGTATTTAATAAGTGGAATCGTCGGATCCAAATTTAATTGTAGAACCGTCCGGATTCGATTTAGTTCCAAAATTTCGTATTATAATCAAATTTTTTAATATTTACAAAACGATATTAATTCAACTAATGATATATTCAGCATAGTTTTTACTAAATAACGTAGTTCAATTTTATTTGTTTTTTACGTTTCTCTTTGTTGAGTTTTTCATAAATTTGATTATTAAAATTACAGGAAGAGGAAGATAGCGAGCTCACAATAATTAAGAGAAACGTTGTTGAAATTTAATTCAATTGTTCCAGAACGGTGAAAACGACACTATAACAGATTTGGATAAAAACTTAGATCAATTTGACTAAGTTGGCTTTGAACTGAAAATTAGAAATAGGAAAATAATATTTTTGGGTTTGAAATAAATTAACTAGTTAATAAATTTATTTAGAAAAATAAAATAATTTGATTTATTTAAAATAAATATATTAAAAAAATTAGGTAGATTCAATTTTTCGCTTCTTGATCTAGAATCGAACCAAATTCGTTGGTTCTCAATTCAGATATCCGTTCAGGTATTTAACTTAAGAAGAACCGCTTAGTTCGATTGGTTCGGTTCAGGAGTTTTGTCCAACCATACTTCTTTTCAACCACACATTTTTCAATAAAATAATATTACACACAAACCCAAAACTTATACTTATTTTTTAATCGCACATTTTCCATCAAATCACAATTTTAATTAATTATTATCATTATTATTATTTTTTGCAAAAATATAAAAATGTGCATCAAATAGGCTCTTAATATTTTTAAAATGTGATATATTTGTAAAAATATGTATAATCATGGGATCCGGTCGGGTCATTGAGCTACACTCGATATACATTCCTATTGCTGTTACGTGTAAGTGTTTGTTTGGTATGGTTAAAAATTTGTTTAAAAGTTGAAAAGAAATTATAGATAACTTTAATCACAAATTTTATTAACTTTACAATCACACATGCCATCGATTTTTATCAAAATCTATCAATTTTTTTATTAATAACCCCAAATATTTTAATCGTACATGTCTGCATATAAGTTTGAGTCAAACTCTAATATACACCAGATTAAAAACTATTAGAAAGTATAAGCTCTGAATTGCTACCTGATGTATCAACCCAATCGAGTTCACAAGTGTTGATTACCAGATCACATTACTGAGATGTGAATCATAACTCTTATATAAGAGAATTTTCAAGAGATATTTAAAAAGTGAAATGATATCTATTTTAAAGGTCAACCCTTAAAATTATGCTTCGAGAGATTTTTAAAATTAACATTTTAAAATATTTCAATCTTCAATACTCCATATATTGACCTAATTAAATAATATGTATAAAAAAAAGAGGAAAATAACATAATAATTTGAAAGAAAGTTGGTGAAAATAAAAGGTAGTGTAAAATAATAAATACAAATTGAGAGCAGTAAACTTAAGTGTTAAAAATAAAGAGATTATTGGATTATTTAAAAAATTTGATGCTCTAAATTTATAGCTATTGACTAAATTGCAGGATTATTATTTAAAAGTAGACAGTCTCTTAAAGATACTCTAAGTTACTAAATCAATTCATTGCTGATAATGTACAAGTGAAGCTTAAGCTTGTTCAAGGCTGTGTATGTGGCTATCCTTGTTGGAGTGAAATTCTTGTTAATTTCTTTCGTTGGAAAGAGCATACTCGCATGTCAACCCTGCTCACCGCTATTGAATTCTTGGCTAGACAAACCTGTCTTTCTATATTTTTTCAAATCCGAAATTGAATCGCTTTCGTACACAGAGCTACCACTCGAGCCATCCAGTCCTCCATGCCTCGCCTTTACCCCTTCATTTAGGTCCTCTAAAGACACGTCACCTTCCAAAGCGCGTACAATCTGTAGATTTACCAAATTAGATAACAAGATTTTAAATTCTTTTTTTTTTTTTTTTTTTGCCAAACATTCCAATTTCCAAAAGTGTATTAATCATACAAACAAAGGTGATTGCCTGACTCATTTTGGGGCGTCCTCTTGCAGAATGCCTAATACATGCAGTTGCACATGCCACCATCCGCAACATCTCCTGAGGATCATAGTTGTTCTCCAAGCGTGGATCCACCAACCCTTCGCAGCTTCCTCCCTCTGTTACTTGCATTAGAATAGGTCTTGCCTGTTCGTACGAATCCCCACGCAAGAAAACAAGGCATAAGCAATTAACGAGTGCGTAAATCAAATTAATCGACAAAAAATTATGATTACTATTTCAATAAACTAAAATTACACACCCAATCAACTAAGTTGTCATCATCATCATCTCTATGGATATCCACGGGGCGTCGTCCAGTTATGAGTTCTAATAACATAATCCCGTAGGAGTAAACGTCAGATTTTTCCGTGAGCTTCCCACTTGAGGCATATTCAGGCGCCAGGTACCTGCATATTAATTACATGTAGATGTACCCGATCACAAATATATACATTTTAGCGGGAATTGGCATCCTTGATTTTATTGTAAATGATACAAAAGTATTTGCAAATAATAATAATAATAAATAAATAAACCTAGGGTTCAAAATTGTGGCCAAATCTAATGTGATTTTGAATTGCTTACCCAAAAGTTCCCATTATCCGAGTTGAAACGTGCGTGTTGTTGTCATTAGAAAGTTTGGCCAATCCAAAGTCAGCCACCTACTCATTGAAGTACATCATGGATTACTAATAAAATAAAGAGTAATGCTATACGTACATCAGGGTATCCATACCGAAATCTACCATGTGAAGTGGTTCCCCATCCATCTGAAGGGGTGGATACAGGTATGAAAACAACACTATGTACAAGTAGCATTTCCTAAAATAACTACACAAATTTAATTTCAAAAAAAATTAGAAGATTTAATTAGTTTGATTTATGATTAATTACCTGGGCTTCACCATGACTATCGAGCAAAATGTTTGCAGCTTTGATGTCTCTGTGGATAATTCGAGGATGACCTGTAAATTAATAGCAAAAAGGTTATTAAATACAAAACTGAAGTACAAAATTAATAAGAAAAGGAAAGAAAAATAACTTGGAGAAGAGAATAACTCACAATCTTCATGAAGGTAAGCAAGTCCTTTGGCCGATCCCAATGCAATTTTAAGCCTTGTAGGCCAGTCCATAACTGGGCGATTAGCTCCTACATAAGTCAGATTTTTGTAGCAAATTTAAGTTAAACTTCATCGATTTTGATAGTTGAACCAACTTGTTATGTACTAAAATTAAAGGAAAAAGTTTATTGTGTAAATTACGTACCATGAAGGTGAAATTCAAGAGTACCATTATCAACAAATTCGTAAACCAACATTCTTTGAGATCCCGCAATGCAATAACCAACAAGAGACACAAGGTGCCGATGATGGACACGGCTAATGATATCTACCTCAGCTTGAAACTCCCTTTCTCCTTGCCCACTATTGGATTTCAAGCTCTTTACTGCAACTTCTTTACCATTTGGCAACACCCCTTTATGCACATAACCAAAGCCACCCTGTCCCAACATATTAGATTGCGCAAAATTGTCAGTTGCGGCCACTAAGTCATTGTATGTAAAGCTGCTTTGATTGAAGCCAAGGGGAATGGAAGGTTGGGGCGGTGGCGGTGGAGGCAAGGCAGCTTGGTGTGGACCCGAGAAACCAGGTCCGCTGTTGTAGTAGTCATTATCTGCATACACAAGTGCTTGTTAATTAAACTCAAACAACCAATTCGATCCATTTTGAACTTGCATTTGAATTTTAAGATGGTGTGCTCAAACGAGCCTATAATCGTGTATAAAATTTCATTTTGAAATTTAATAGAAGTGGATCACGTACTTCTATTTCCATGAGATTCATCTCTGTAGTAGTGAATGTGATCATGGGGCTTTCTTTTCTTCCTCCTACAACAAAACACCAAGAAGACAATCATAAAGATAAGCAATAATGCCGCTCCTCCAACTACTCCGCCTATGATGGCTTTCTCATTAATGGGCGAGTCGTCATTTGATGGCGAATTTGATGATTGAGATGACTTGTGTCTTGAAGGAGGAAGTCTTGGAGTTTCGTGCTGTGGTGCTAGAGGCGATGTTGGTGGTGGATGTGGAGATGATGGATCTCCATCTTCGTCACCTAATGAGCTAGAGTTTGACGGGGGTGGAGTTTTTTTGTTATTATTATTGTTGTTGTTATCGTTGTTAGCAGGAGGCAGGGAACTATTGTTAGAGGGTGGAGGTGGTGGGCTGTGTTTTGATGGAGGTGGTGCGGATGGAGATGGTGATGAAGATGACGAGGCTGATGGTGGTGGTGGTGACGACGAATTTGAATGTGGAGATTCTTTAGGCGATGAAGATGCCATTTTCACAAGGTGTCTTTAGCACGGTCTTTATTAGAACACACCCATCATGCTGCCGCGCTTCCAAAATAATGAGACTATTCAAGATTAATTGACATTTTCAAGAACATGAACAAATAATACTAAACTATAAAGAAAATGGTGAATGCCCATCAAAATATACCATTTCATTCCAACAATTTATTCATGCAAATGTGCGCATTACTAATTTCTTTCATTGAAACAAAACAAAAATATTATGAAGAAGAAAACGTAATCTATATATAAGAGAGAAGGGCAGGGAGGATCCTTAAAAGGAAGAAGAGAATAAAAATGAAGGTGCATTGTAATAGTTTCTACAAAGAAACCATTAACCGTCTTCCATCCTCATACCTTTCCTGGAAAAATGGAGATTAACTAATTAAACTGTATTTACTATTTTTTGATTAATTATTTATGTTCATTTTTCCATTATTAATTAATCATAGATCAAATATAGTTATATTTGTTTCCTTTGTTGTTTGAAATCGTGTGTTTTCTCCATGATGTTCGGAGTTGGTCAATAAAGTTGGACAAATGTCATAATTTTCCACCTTCCGGATTGATAATTAACCTCAAACATTGCAGCCACAAACTTCTCATTTAATCCATGTTTGGATTTAACTAAAAAATTACTAAAAATTTAAGTTAAAATCAATAATTAATTTTAATTTCTATTTGGTCTTATTTTCTAAAACTCATTTTCATCAAACACTTTTTCAATTCCACCTTTCATGGAATTCATAACTTTTATCAATTCTTCAATTTCATAGTTTATCAATTTTTATTAAAAAATTACTAAATGCTAACCAAACAGAGGCTTAATCACACATATTATAGGATTCATAATTTTATCAATCTTCCAACCATACAGTTTATCAAATTTTATCAAAAACTACTAAAATATGATCTTCAGCAAAATTAAATAAGAGCTTAAAATGAAACTTGTTCAAATACATGATGTGAAGATCTTTCTTTGAATAAACTAATGTCTCGTTGTTTTTATACTTGAAGTGTCAAACATTGCTTGGTTGTAACTCAATTCAATAACATGTAATATGGATAAATAATATAATTCATTTTGTATATCAAAATGAACAAGATTGTTAATTTTGAAACTCGTAATGGAAGCGCATCAACCTA